AAAAAGTATTTATCTGAGCTCAACACGGAAGGCTCATAATTGACATTTAGACGAAGTACTTAACTAGATATAGTTATTAATTATTAAATATATTGTTTTTCTTATCAAAAATGAATCAATTAAAACTTAAGCCCATTCAATTCGAAAATTAAAAAAAAATGTTTATTTTATTATTATTATTATTTTTACTATTTTATTTGTTGTCCCCGATATACAAATGTAACTTACTTGTTCGTTACGTTTACTTCTCCTACATGTTCTCGATAAATAATGCATTAACCATAAAAATTATGCAAAGTGGTTATCGTTATGTGTACAGGCACATTAAAAATATTAAATAATTAATCTTTTACGATGGAAATTAGGTATTCCATTATCTTTATCAATTATCAAATACTTATTACCGGTTACCGCATATATAATTTTCTTGGCAGAGGAATGGGTGAGCATAATATGAATATTATGCTGATTATAAATTACTAAATTAACATTTTCCTACTACTCCTAAAATGAATAACAACATTTTGTCATTAGAAATCAAATTCACTTGTATTTTTAATTTTATATTATATGACTAGTTCGTTGTTAATGAAATATATGCCATGGCTGTGAAATTCCAATAAAATAAACACTCTTGAATATAACCAAATTGTATTTAATCAACAGTTTTAGGTACTCTATCTAGAGATCACCCTCTCATTGAGTCCAATTGTACTCGTAACATTAAATACTAATAGCAGCCTGTATAGTCGTCATTGACATTAGGTATATTTTTTAATTTAAACATGATGTAGTGTCATACACTGACAGAAAATGCACGCCTCTCGTTAAATTAATTAATTAATTTTTTTCAATTTTTAATGTTTTTTAAATTGTAAAAGACCTGAAATCTAATCAATTTATTCCATTCAACTTAGAATATAGGAATTTTCAAATAACTGAAAAATGTATTAATTTAAAGTGATAGTAGAATATTTCTAGAACATTAAATCAACAACTGTTCATAGTTTTATCCATATGACAGATGTTCGATTCTTATCATGGTCAATTATGACTTCATAAGTTTAATATATCTCTGCACAATATTGCTATAAATTATTTCATTTCTTAGTAGTATACTTTTATCAACATTTTTTTAAATATTTTTAGCAACTATAATTATATTTTATTCTAATTTATTTTTGAAAATACTGTTGATATTTGTATTCAAATAATTATTATTACATTTTGTAAACTATTTAAATGATAAATATCATTACGATAAACAAATTACACAACATAGTTTATCTTATTTATTTTTTATATATATTTAATTTTTATTGAGCTTCAACTGTAAGTTATTCGAGCAATTATATAGATTTTATTATACATAATAATTAAGCAAGTATTATAGTGAGTTAAGAATTAAACATTTCAAATGTATAATTTAACTTGGTTTAGTTTTCACTCTAATAAAATTTATCGACTGATAGAGAATTATGTCGATGATGGATGGTTAGAAAAACAGTGAGTTTTAGTGTCTTAAATAATTTAACATCGTTTTTGCCAAAACTCTTATTTGTATTTATAATATCCATTTTCACTGTTGTATAGGTATTTTCAAGGTATACGTCGTTGTTTATCCATTCAAAAAAACAAAACTTTCTCGTGTTCAAATTCTATTATACTCAGTTTTTCATCAGGTAAACGCGTTCTTTTGCCCCGAATGCCATTTAAAAAAGAAAAAAAATAAGGTCAAGACTAAAGGAAAAATAGATTAAAATAACAAAAAACATGCGAAAAACGCACTTAAAAATAAAGAATGCAAAAATTATCATAAAAAAAATAAAAACATGAGCCCTACCGAATGTCTTTTATAGCGAAATAGGTTTTATTTTTCCGATTAATATAGATGATACTGACGAGAAAAATAATGTAGTCAATATAAATCTATGGCAGAACTGTCAACCCAGGAGACCGATGAAAAGAACTCATTAGGGTCTTTCAGGGGTTTGTTTGTTTTTACACTTTTATGTATATGCCGTTGAATAATTTATAACGGACTACTACTCGCCATCTTGTCATCATATCCTACTCCTGTTTTACTACTATATGTATCCATTCAACACCTTGTGTCAACGAAGAAAACCGGCATGGTAATTACCACCGTCATTTTGGCCAATAAAACCCTCGTCTTAGGTACATGATTTTCCGGAGTCTCCATTATTACTTCACTGGACCCCATTAGAGGGTTACTACTTTATCAACACTTCACCCGCTGACATGAACCTGCCCACTGCAATAATTCACCCAATCCGTTCTGTCTGCGCATTTTATAAATAGTACCTATGCTAGTTTTAAATGTGAAAAAAGAAACAAAGTCACTAACAGTTTCATGCATTACCTTCTATCCTTTGAAGTCTTATTGTCTCTTGACAATCATGGATTATGAGCCTGACAAAGAAGACTGGAAAATTATGAGTATCATTTATTCTATATTTCAGCGTAATATGCAATAAATATTTAATTTTATATGTTGATCAATTTTGTTCGATACCTAGAATGAATCGATTCTTATTATGCTATGAGGTATTTTTTAAGAAGATTAAACCTAAGTTTAATTATGTTTATTATGTTACTAAATAAATAATATTCTAAATAAAAGCTAATAAAAATTAATATAAAAATACAAAGAACTAGAATCATTTTATTTTTAAACTTCTCGAGTCTTAATTATAAATCTAAAATTTAGATTATAATACTTAGTTATTTAATAGTTCAATATTTTAATCAAAATCATCATTTTCCAACCATTCTATTGCATTTTTAGCACCGCATATTAGTAATGTAATGTATATTCAAATTGTTCTATCGTAAACAATTCAAATATTCGAATATCAGTATTGGATGCTACAATACCTAATTCGTTTTATCCGTTTTTCCATGACAAGTTTTTTATACTATTTATAATTAATAAGTAATCCATATCTACACAATAAAAGATAATGTATGTCAATGATTAATACGAGAATATTTCTTATCTTGCAGGTACCTGTTCGTAGTTATTTTACTCGTTATAGTCGATAACTCGTAATAACCATACTCGTTGTTGACGTATATTTTAAAATACAATCATATATGCCTTGTCGGGACCTTACGTTTTGCTTGTTGTAAGCAGTATCTCGTTCTAAGCGATGCTCGCTATAGTGATTTATAGTTTATACAGTATTAATAATAATTTAATTATGATATTCGAGTATTTTGCACAATTTTTATTTTTGTATTTTAATTGCCCTGTCAAATAGTAAATATCGCTGGCTTCAAATTCACTTCTCGCAGGCCTTTATGCACCATAAGTCATATAATATTATTATTAAACGTTTTGTGTTGCGCGAAAACTTAAACGAATAATTTTCGTTACGTATTGTATTGTAGCATCGAATATTCAAATATTTGAATAATTTTCATCACTACCACATATCACTAAAATATGTCATACTATGTACATTTTTTTTTATTTTATATAAACAATAAATTTTAAAGAATAAAAAAAAATATTGTATGTTTATTTTCGTTTTTTATTATTGATTTATCTTTATCAGTAACAAAAATAATAATAATAATAATAATAATGAACGGATGATTAATATCAGTTAATAATAGTTTTATGAAAATTAAAATAAAAATAGCGTTGAGTAGACACATTCCTGGGTTATCATAATTCATCTTACAAAATGTTCGTAAGTTATTCCATAGTATATTAAATTACAATCATTTACTACCAAAAAATTATTACACGATTTAAAATAAATCAAAAAGAGGCGTAAAATGAATTAACATTATGCTATTGTTAATTATTTGTGAAAATGTCTACACACAACAAACATAATTAAAGAAATAAAGAATGTTTCTATTTATTATACATTGTAATATATATCATTCGAGTCGGTAAACAAATAAGATATAGTTAAGGACGAAATAAAAATATCTGTAATATATTTATATTTATAGCTTTGATAACATGCTTACAGAGTACATTTAGGTTGAAAATATAATGAAAATGAAAAAAAAAATGTTAATTTATGTTAAATTCATAATATTATGCTTGGAGAAGATTTTATTATTTTTACTTATTTTTAATATTTTATAAATATATTGTTAAATTTAATGTCTAAAATTGGAGTATTTAATATGATAACTAGAGCGCGGATTTGTATGCACTTAAAAGTATCGAAATATGCCATATAATATGCAGTAAAAATCATGAAAATATGCAAGAATTTTTTATTTATTTAAAATTTATAATTCAACTTACAAAAATTAATTACTTAAATACTTATTATAAAAAAATTTGGGGAATTTTCTGAACTTAATTTATTTTTAAAATTTTATTTATTATTAAAATAAATAATCATATGCATTTCAAGTATATCTTCTATGAAGCCTGTGTCGTTTATCGGTTAACATATTTTTAAAGACTGAAAACGAACCCTCAATGTCAACCGAAGTTATTGGGGCATATTTGAAGCAAGTGGTATGTCGATAATCGACTGACACAGCAAGAGCGATTATGTAATCGATTATTTATTTTATAACTAAATATATATATATATATATATATATATATAAATTATTATTTAATGACTATGAAATTTATTTTTAATTTTTCTACTAGATAAAATATTATTTTATACACTTTTTTTCAAATTTTCACTTCAATATGCAATAAATTTTGAATTTTTTCAAAATATGCAAAAATATGCAATAACCTCTAAATATGCAGAAATATGCAAAAAAAAATTCACCATTAGCTTCAAATTATGATGATTTGTGGAGATAACTGTCAAAAATCCAAAAATATTGAAAGGAAAATAATATGCGATTGCATAGAAATCCGCGCTCTAATGATAACATAGGAATGAAAAAATAAATACAAATTATTTTTAGGTATGATTAATTTTTATACTGAAATAAACATGCCTATATAATTATTAATTATTTATTGACGATTTTTGTTTCAGTCTCTTTGAAACACATCCGGACGTCCAACAATCATTTATGCCGTTCAAAGGAGTAGATCTTGAAGACCTAAAACACAGTAGACAACTAAGAGATCATGCATTAAGGTATTTTAAAGAGTTAATAGAAGATTATTGTTGTGAAATTTTAGATAAAAATATAATAAATATTTAATATTCAAGTTTCTACAGTCTAGTACCATGTTATGTAAATATAACGCTAATCACTATATAATAATATAGTTAAAACTATTAAGTAAATATTCTTAATATACTCATAATAACTATGAAATATGATATACGAATTGAGTCCTGTACATAAAAAAATAAAATGTTTTACAGTATAGTACGATTGAAATATTGTATTTATTGTAATACGTTTTAAGATTTTTTTAAATAAGAGTCTAACTTTTTGTAAGTGAATGCAAACATACGTTTTCACGGATATCGTGCACGTTTGAATGCTGCAATATAAAACACATATGATTAATAACGAATACGTGAATTAATAAATACTATACTATACTAAATATTATATATAATAATATATAAATACGTGAACACGTATTGAAGTCATAATCACATGATAAATTTTAATTTATATAAAAGTGTATAGTATTTACTAATTATAGCATAATAGAAATATATTAATTTTACAAAAAGAAATAATTGCTTCTAATGATTTCTAGAATGTTATCATATATTTCATTGTGATTGAACTATTTTGTTTATTACTTTTTTTTATTAAATTACTGTAATTCGTTATAACATTATTATTTATTTAAATATTGTCAATCAATTTATGAAAAATTGTCTTATATTGCTTTAGAGATTAGGTTTTCTAAAATAAAACATTATTATATATTATTATTATTTAAAGAAAATACATAATTAAGTTATAATTTGGGTTATTGTTTATTAAAATAATTTAATCTATATTTATGATATGAGTAAAACCACCTTACTCTTACGGTTAAGAAAAGAGAATTAAGTTAGTTAAGGCGTAAATACAAGAATAATATTATAAATGCACGGGCAATTTTAATCAACGAATTTTAAGTTTATATGAATACGTGAAAGTGTATACACGTGAAATAAGGAGCAATTTTTTTTAAATGTATTATACAAATACATGCAATACACGACCGGGGTTTTTTTTTTTAATGTTATCTACATGCTGTCACTAAATTTATAAAACACTGTATTGCTACACAGACATAAGGTGTGATGATTGAGAAACAATTAAAAACCTACTTATAGATAAAAATTTGTTTTCTGATGACTATTATATACTATGAAATTAATAAATTTATTTATGGAAATACTTTGTAATAGTTTGAAATTAGAGATTAAAATAATTACAATTTATAAAAGTTGTACTTTAAGTATAATATAATGAATGTTCAGCATGAAATTCATATAATAATTTCCTTTCGCTTTATATTGTTTATCACTTCCGGTTGCGGCAACACTCTTTTAAAAAGTAATTTTTAACTTAATGTGTTTCATCTTACCTCCGATACTCCATAAAACATTTATGTTCTGCTCTGCATGTTTCTTACAACCACACTCAAACGCCATTCCTGAATTTTCTCATTAAATCACTTATCAAGTGTCCAGTATACTTCAGTATCATGCTTTGTTTTCGGTGACCATAGAAATGTTTAACCGATATAATTGTTGTTGGTAATTTTTAATAGAAATATAATAGTTTTCTGGATAATTTGCAATTTGGTCTTAAATGTTATTTATTATCTTATATTAAGTGATAACTTAAATGGATGAATTACTTTATGATTTAGCTTAATAAACTTAGTGAAAATAATTAAATAATTTATAAAATTTTATTTAATAAAGAAAAACAAAAATTTAAACAATATACAGGCAAAATGTATTTTATTCGTGATAACGATCTGATTTTTTAAACATATTTAGATAATATATTCTATACATATTCTCATGTAAAATAATCATAAATTGATACTATGGGTATACAAAAAAAAAAAAAATGTAAGAAGTTATATAGAATGTAACTGTTTTTTAGGTAAACGGCGAAAATATAATGAGTGTATTTTTATGGGAAAATAGTAAAGTTAAACGAAAAAAGACAGTAAAATAAGAACCATATTTTCGACAATGCTAAACAATAGAATATGTTGATAGAAGCCTTTCTGAAGACAAAAGTTATTGTCAAAAACGTTTCAGTCATGGTGCTCAATATATCTTCTATAAAGAGATCCTCTCCATAAACACTAGGGTGTTTATTAAACACGTATAATTTTTACCAAAAAATATGCTGGAAAAGAATGGACTATTAAAGAAAATTATTTCTTTGTAATTTTCTATGAATAACCAAGAGACAGGTATTAATAGTAGCATGGATTTTCTCATGTAAGAAAAAAAAACCTAAAATTTAAAACCATGCAACGGGTAATTTATCAGAACACTAGTGTACATCTGGTATGAAAAATGCTGTAAAAAATATTTTAGAATGTAATAGAAGATATAAGGTTATAAATAAAAAAAATCGCAATTTTTGGGTTTTTCTATTTCGATAACACGGTATATTATATAGCATGAAAAATCTTTACACCAGGAGAAACGTCATAAAAAATATTTTATCCTTTGTAAAAGTAATGAAATATATTTATCAACCTTCAAATATTCATATTAATTAAAATATTTACAATTTTAATTTTTTAGAATTTTGAATTTAAGACCAGAATTAGATTTAAGTTTAAAATTGTTTTCTTGTATTTCATTTTTATACTTTTTTAGACATACATTTTACTATATTATAGCATGTAAAGTTATAATAATCATAACATTTAATCAGACAGTATAACCCATATAAATTGTAATTTAATACGACAACGATTTATTTTATTAACTATATTATTGTATTATAAGGTATGAAGTATATATATTTTTTAATATTTTAATAAATAATTATTTAGTTAACTAACACGAGTAATTTAATAATTTTATAAAATCATATAAATCGAAGAGATAAAAAATGATTCATACAATAATTTTATTTTTAATATTTTTTTTTTTATAAAATGTTTTATTTTATTTATTTATTTATTTATTTTTTTTTTTTTGATTCACCCATGTTATTAAATTTTATACTATGCCAATTAGTAAAATGTTGTTTGATATTTTTGTGAACACAAATATTCCAAATACTCATATGTATTCAACAATAAAAATTGACATAACGTGTGATATGTGAATAATATAATGTTTATGTACTAAATTTGTACTACAAATCAAATATTAAATTAAATTAATTTAAATTATAATACGCATATACACATGACGGCGAACACACATGCTCAAACCCTCTCACACTTGTATTTTGTGGTGTCCCACTTTAAAAGGACGTATATTTTATTCTAAAATGCAGAATAGTCGATACCTACTTTTTATAAGCTTATAATGGGTATAGAAACAACAATTTTTATGAAATGCTCTATAATATGAGCATAAAACAAGTAAGATAAAAATCAAGAGAAATCCATATTATTCCTGGAATTATTGAAAATTATGAAAATTTGAATCATTAATAATTAATTTAAATGTTAAAAGAAATATCAATGGTTTGTTAGGAGTAATTAGTGACTTTTTAAAAAAAAAAAATGTAAACGAAATGCTAAGTGTTCTAATTATTTATATATATATATATATATATATATATATATATATATATATGTTCTATCTAGTATAATCATTTATAATTTAATATTTACAATATATTATGTTTAATATTTTTGATGCTATATTATTGTAACTGAACACATATTATGTATTTGTAATTCAGTGTTGTTTTATATGAAATAATATAACTTACTGTGTTTCAGTTTATTTATTTATTTGCATTTATAAAGACAATTAAAAAATTAGCTCCTTATAAAGTGTGATTTCAGTAGTCAAATACTAATTTTAAAAAAAATGTCATGTATACATATAATTTTTAGACATTATTACAATGACTAATTATTTAATGTGTAAACCAATATCATTGTACACCCACACGTTTATTGATTTATCATTTTGCAAACATGGTAATGCATCACACAATAAATCATAAATATTATTGATAATTTGAATTATGTTACACATAAAAGAAAACTAAATGTCATAAATAAAACACAAATTAGTATGAAGATCTTGAGCTTACCTATAAAAACGTCTCGTGCGTTTATACATTTTTCATAAATATATAATTTTAGTATTGTATTTATTTTCTCCATCATATAATCAAAACCCTGTAAAAGTTTTCGTTACCACTATCAATGATCAACTTCCACGATTAACTTTCTATATTATTAAATATATTAATAAATTAATAAAATTAAATATATTATACTTTATTCGCTTATCTTTAATACGATGTTCAAGTTAATTTTTATACTTCTACCAAAATTCAAAAATCAGATAATATGATTATCATTATTAATCATAATTATAATATATTATATTAATATATGATTTGCATTTTATAGTATTATATCGATATAAACATTTTTACTATACTTAAAAAATTTATATGATTACCTGTATAATACTATTTAATCATCGATGAATCTATTTTATAATTTTTTTTTTTTTTTAAACACTTCCCATTCTGAAATCCTGCACATGGGCCTGTATTATGGTAGACATACTATCTTAAAATTGATCCACAAGTAAAAACTTCTTGGTACCCAGTAGGCCATCATATTTCGTACTCTTTGGTAGATCACATATTGAACAATTACCATAATTGAAATTACAATTAATAACGAATATCAGTTATCACTGATTATAATTTGATAACAAAAGTACCTCAATTAAAATGGCCGCTGATTTCGTTACCGCCGTGTTGTGTCCACCCCCTGGTATATAGCTACAAAAGTTATTAACTATGTAGATATTTCGAAAATCTGATAAAACCACTTAAATTGATAATAATAACAAAAATAGTAAAAAAAAAAACATTTAAATTTAAATAAAATTATAAAATAAAAAATATTATTGAATTGCAATAACAAATATAGTCAAAAACTTTCATGAAATATATTGATACGTATGATAATAATCCATCGTGTACCAACTCGTGTTTC